AGTTTTTAAAGATGGCTTCATGGGAGTTATTTTTTAGTTTGAGTAGTTATTTGAAATTTAATTCCGTTTAGTTTGACTTTATATACTGTAATGCTCATTCCTAGTCTAAATATTATTATGTATCTCTTTTTTTTTTTAACAGAGAATACTAATTTAATAATAGGCTGTAAGAACACCCTGGAGGTTATACTGTGAAATAAAACAAAATAGGAAAAAGCTATGTTCCTTCATAGCAAAATTTACTTAAAATAAGAAATCAATTTCTAAGACTTAGAAATTTCTTGTTAACAGTATTTGTACCTAAATTTGTTAGGTAACACATCCTTTAAGTACTTTTTTTTGTGATAAATGCCTGCTTTCCAATTTTTTACTTTGATTAATTTCAAATATACAAAGATTACAAGAATAGTACAGTGAACACATCATACATTTTTTTCACCTAGATATTTATCTATTACTAACATTTTGCCACTTTTCTTTTTCTGCCAAACCATTTGAGAGGTAGCAGGCATCATGACACACTTCTAAAGACATAGATTCAGCATGTGTCGCCTAAAAACAAGGACCTTCTTTTTACAGCCATAATTGTCAGTTTTAAGTTACTTAACGCTGTTCATAGAATATATATTCCTATTCATGTTTTCTTACTTTCCTGTTAATGTCCTTTTTATCTTTTCCTCCCTGATCAGGACCCACTCAAGGACCATACATTGCGTTCAACTCAGGTTGAGTTAGTCTCCTTTATTCTAGAACTGTTCCCCAGCATTTTTTTTGGGGTGAGAAGAGGTGGTGGTGTTGGTATCTTTTGCGATATTTTTGTTCTTGTTTTGCAGAATGTACCTTAATTTTGACTTGCTGACTACTTATTATTAGATTTTGGCAGGATTACTGCATGGAATATTGTGTTATTCTTTGGGCATACTATCAGGAGACATCTAATGTCATAAGTTTAATATTATTAAGTTTGATCACATGGTTAAGGTGATAGTCTCACATTTCTACACTGTAACAGTACCTTTATCCCCTTTATAATGTTTGGGGGAAATACTTTGTTAATACGTAGTTTTAGCATCCATTGATTATTTTTGTCCAAATTATCTGTTACCGTGGTGATTGCAAAAATAGTGAGTTTTATAATTCTCTCATTTTTCTATGTTTATTAGTTGGTATTTATCTTTAAAAAAAGAAGAGTTCCCTCTCCTTACACCTTTATTTAATGTCATTTTTTTGACTGATGAGTTCACTTTTTATTTATTTATTTTTTTTGAAACAGAATCTCGCTCTGTTGCCCAGGCTGGAGTGCAGTGGCACAATCCTAGCTCACTGCAACCTCCACTTCTTGAGTTCATGCAGTTCTCCTGCCTCAGCCTCCCAAGTAGCTGGGATCACAGATGTATGCTATCACACCTGGTTAATTATTGTACTTTTAGTAGAGACGGGGTTTCACTGTGTTGACCAGCCTGGTCTCAAACTCTTGACCTCCAATAATTCACCCTCGGCCTCCCAATGTGCTGGGATTACAGGTTTGAGCTACCATGCCTGGCCAGTGTTCACTTTGTAAGTTTAATATGTCATCATTCATTACCGTCATATTTTTCATACTCAGGTTATGCCAGGTTTAACCATGGGAGCTTTCAGATATTATCTCTGAATCATCTCAAGAATTTCTTCTAATCGTATATCTGTAGAAAAATAGTTGTGACTTTAAAATCTCCTTTTCTATTACATTAAATCCACACGGACTTTTCTCTTGTTCATACTATGATCAAAAGAAAGATTTTTGTAGACTTGGCAAGATTCTGACATTCAGCTGAGACCAACATTATTTGAAAGGCTGCTTTTCTATGACTACTTAGGAGGTTTTAGTTATCAGTACCTATCATGTTTTAGCTTACTTTAGATTTTTCCAGTTGCAATTGATTTTCCTGTCTTTGGGTCTAGGGGTAGGGTGGTGGTCAGAGGCATCTTTTAACTGTTTTTTTATGATCTGTTGAGTTGAGCCTGAACTGTATATAAAACTCTCACTAAAAAGGATACCAAACAGACAAGCAAATGTGACGTGGTTGACAGTACTTCTGTAGAAACTGTTGCAAGGAGTGCTGGCGCTGTGTCCAAAACAATCCTTGCTAAAATACCTCGGAGATGTTCCTGGGACTGATTTTTAGAGGGATTTTTTTCCTTGAGAAACATTTCAGTATATTATCATTTAAGACATCGCCCAGCACTCAGAGTGGAGTGCAGTGTGACATGATCACAGCTCACTGCAACCTCAGACTCCTGGATTCAAGCAACCTTCCTGCCTTAGCCTTCTGAGTAGCTAAGCATACAGGCACATACCACCACACCCAGCTAGTTTTTTTTGTGTGTAGATACTGGGTCTCTGTGTTACCCAGGCAGATCTCAAACTCCTGGCCTTAAGCTGTTCCTCTTACCTTGGCCTCCCAAAGTACCAGAATTACAGGTGTGAGCCACCATGCCCAGCCCTGAGGCTGATTTTTCTTAAGGTTTAATATACTACTTGTCTGTATGTAGCTGATGCTGTACAGAACAGCATATGATTATTATGCCTTACTTTTAAAATCTTCTCTTGGCCTTTGACTTTGGGGCAAGATCTAGTTATGGGCCAATAAAGCAATCTGAGCCCATTATAGATTATTAAAACATGGTGCTATAAAGAAGGCCTTTATACCACATGAGAAGTAGGATCTGGAGGCAGTCACTGGAAAGATGAGGCAATTTAGAATTCTCTAAAAATTGTCATGTCTTGATAGCCTAGTTTTTAACTTGTGTCATTGTGGCTTCCACTGTTTTTTTCACCCATACTGGAGGGCAGTGGCAAGATCTCTGCTTACTGCAACCTCCTTCTCCCAGGCTCAAGTGATTCTCCTGCCTCAGCCTCCCGAGTAATTGGGACTACAGGCTTGCGCCACTATGCCTGGCTAATTTTTGTATTTTTAATAGAGTCGGGGTTTCACCATAATGTTCAGTCAGACTGGTCTTGAACTCCTGACCTGGTGATCTGCCCACCGCAGCCTCCCAGAGTGCTGGGATTACAGGCATGAGCCATGTGCCCTGCTCAGCTTCCACTGTTTCTGAGATAAACTGGATTCATGTCCCCTTGTTATGAACATAGAAAGCATAGACAGTCTCCCCTCCACCGAGACTTTAAGTCTCCCCACCATCACTAGTTTCAGTGCTATGAACTGATGGGCTCAACGCAAAAGAGGGCACGGGATAGAGAGTGCAAACAAGGGAAGAGACATTGCTTCTTCGTAAATACCGTCAATGGAAAAGAATAGAGAGCTTTAAAAAGACCCAAGCTGGCCAGCTGCACTGGCTCCTGCTTGTTATCCCAGCACTTTGGGAGGCTGAGATGGGAGGATCCGTTGAGGTCAGGAATTGCCAGCCTAGGCAACATAGTGAGGCCCCATCTCTACCAAAAATAAAAAAAATTAGCTGGACATGATGGTGCACATCTTTGGTCCCAGCTACTTGGGAGGCTGACGTGGGAAGATGGCTTGAGCCTGGGAGGTTGAGGCTACAGTGAGCTGACTGAGCCACTGTGTTCCAGCATGGGTGATACAGTGAGACTCTGTCTCTAAAAAGAAAAAAAAAAAAGGTAAAAAGACCAAAGCTTATGCTAACACCAGATACGTGAAAGAAGTGGCACAGCAGAAACAAGAGGTATTAAAGGTTACTTAAGCCTATTGATATACACTGCTGCACTGTGTTAGAAGTAGAAGTAGACATACTAGTAGTGTTCGATTAGCATGTTTTAGACCATCTTAGAAGTGTTTACATCTTGCTGAATATTTGGTAAATGGGACTGAATGTGTATTATTAATGTGAAGGAAATTCGTTCTTGTAATTACCATGGTTTAAGATTGGGTATAATACTGAAATATTTATGAATAAAATTATGACTGGATTTGCTTCACAGTGAACTGTTGGTTGGTGAGAGGTGGTGTGGGGAGAGGTTTCAGATGACGTAAGAATGTGTTTAAGGGCTTTTTTTTTTTAAATAACAAAGTTTAAAAGAAAATTGAAAGACCTTCAAATCAGTCTTTCTCCCTGGGTTCCTTGAGAGAATTAAGCCCTAATTTCCTAAGGCATCCAATGTGAGTAATGAATTAATTTATCTGCTGGCAGCTACAATGGTGCTAGTTATGTATTCCTGGAAGAATTGAGAAAGTAGTCATTTTTTGTGTATTCTGTAGTTTATAAGGAGGAAAATTGGTGGGAAGAGCTGGTTGTGAGTGTAGAAATATATGATTGATTCAACATTCTAAAAATGTTTTGTAATTTGATGTTTGTTTGCCCTTATTTTTTAAATAAATAAATTATTTTTTTGAGACAAGGTCTTGCTCTGTCTAGAGTAAAGTGGCACAATTACAGTTCACTGCAGCTTCTGTCTTCTGGGCTCAAAATATCCTCCCATGTCAGCCTCCTGAGTAGCTGGGACTACACGTCCATGCCACCCTCCTGGCTAACTTTTATATTTTTTGTAGGGATGGGATCTCAGTATATTACCTAGCTAACCTGCTCTTGAACTCCTGGGCTGAAGTGACCCTTATTCCTCGGCCTCTCAAAGTGCTGGGATTACAGACATGAGTCACCACACTTGGCCTAGTTTGTTTTATAAATAAAAATTTTGAACTTTAGTTTTTCTCCCTCCCTCCCTCCCTTTCTTTCCCTTTGCCTTTCCTCTCCCTTCCCTTTTCCTTCCTTCTCCCTTCCTTCTCTTTCCATTCTTTCCTCTCTGTCTTTCACAGGGTCTCGCTCTGTTGCCCAGGCTGGAGTGTAATGATGCAGTCATAGCTCACTGCAGCTTTGAACTCTTGGTTTCAAGTGATCCTCCTGCCTTAGCTTCCTGAGTAGCTGGTACTGCAGGCATGAGTCACCACATCTGCCCTTGAACTTCACTTTTTGAACATGGTGAAAGTATCATGTTGTAAACATATACTAAAACTGTTGGAAAATGTGATTTTCTTTCCTATTAGGTATAATCTGAAAATACAGCCTGTTGAGAAAATTCATCTAGCTGTAGTTGCCTGTGGTGAAAGACTGGAAGAAACTATGACCATGTTGAAGTCAGCTATTATTTTCAGCATCAGACCTCTTCAATTCCATATTTTTGCTGAAGATCAGCTACATCACAGCTTTAAAGGCAGAGTAAGTATTTGAGATGAAGTCAAGGTTGTAGAATTGAATATTTAATAATATACTCTAATAGAATGTTGTTGTATTAGTCTGTTATCACGCTGCTAAGAAGAATTACCTGAGACTTGGAGAGAGAGAGAGAGAGAGAGAGAGAGAGAGAGAGAGAGAGAGAGAGAGATCATGAGAACAGCATAGGGGAAATCGCCCCTATGTTCAAGTCATCTCCCACCAGGTCCCTCCCTCCACATATGGGAATTTCAGTTTGAGATGAGAATTGAGTGGCAGTACAGAGCCCAGTTATATCAGTTGTTGTATTCCTTCATTGCACAAAAATATTCTGTAACATTGCCCTTCTAAAGTGGAGAGTGCTCCTTGAACCACTTCCATCTGAGTCCAGATCTAAGGTGAAAGAGGAAGGTTCATTTTTGAATAGCAGTGGGCTACTTAAAAGTAAGTTCTTTGTCAAGCATGGAGGTTTTATTTTAGTGACTGTAGTGCCAGGATGTTTTGACTAAGAAGTCCTGTGATTTATTTTTGTCCATATCCTTTCCTTTGGAGTGCCTTAATCAGAGCCTACATAAAGGTTTTAGTCTGGTTTTGAGAGGAATTCTTGATTAATAATATGGCAGGAAATGACTTCTGGATCTGGTAAGATAATTACTTGTTTTGGTTTTGTATTAGTTCAGATCAGTTTGGCAGCAGTGGCAGAAAACCCCAAGTAACAGTGGCTTAAACAAGACTGAAGTTTATTTCTCTCTCACATAAAAGTAGGTAGCTTGGATTATATGTCAATTCTTTATCTTCAGGTACTCAGGCTTCATCTGACTGTGGCTGAGTCCTTTCCAGCATGAGGCTTCTGCTTCATGGTCCACAATAGCTACTCAGACTGCAGCCAGTGCACCTATATTTTGTTCAACATGAGGAGAGGGAGTGAAGAAGGGCAGTCTCCTCCTTCTCTTAAGGGTACTTTTTAGAAGTCACTGTGACATTTCTGCCATATCCCATTGGTCTGAATTTAGTCATATAACCATACCTAGCTGTTAGTGAGAGTGGAATATACACTCTTTAATCAGGTCAGCCTTGTAACTTCCTCAACAACAACAAAATTCATGTGAATTTTCTTTTATATGTTCTTCTGCCTGTATCTGTTCTCCTCTTATTGTATAATAGTAATACTTATTATATAGTAATATATAGTAATAATACTTATTATATAGTAATAAGATGAGAACAGATAGAGGCAGAAGAACATGTAAGAAAAAGAAAAGCCACCTGAAATCTCACTACCTTGCATTCTGAAATGGTGGTAAAGGTGATGCTAATGATCATTCATTTTATATTTTCTCTCTCCTCCCTCTCTATCATCTGTCTGCATCTATCTCCATTTAATTAAGCTTTCAAACTCATTTGGATTTTTATGCCTGGTCTAACTATGTAAAAAATATATTTGATGTTTTTTCAGGTTAATTTAGTTCATTGTGCATATTGAGTGCAAAAATACTAATTAAGAGCTCAGATCTTTCAGTTTTCTGCCAAAAACATTTATAGTTTGGCGGAAAAGCTATACAAGTTTTCTTACCTCTTAAGTGATATATGGAAGTATACCTTTTTACTTTCTGTTTAAAAATATTTCTAGTATCGGCTGGGCGTGGTGGCTCACGCATGTAATCCCAGAACTTGGGAGACTGAGGCAAGTGGATTACCTGAGCTCAGGAGTTTGAGACCAGCCTGGCCAACATGGTGAACTCCTATCTCGAATATATATATATATATTTCTAGTGTCTATATTTGTGTGAGCTAATTTTGTGATCTTGATCTCTTTATCTGGATTGTTTTCTAAAATACTGAGGAATTAATCTTGTCTTAGTGGTTAAGAGAATAACAGCCTTCTGCCAGTTATGGAAATCTTTGAAAAGATAGTTTAAAAAAGTAAAACATTTATTGCATTATGTTAGTTGCAACCTCTGTGTTGTGTTTACACCTGGCTGAAATATTGATTGTGTAACATATGCTATATTTTTAAACTTAGTTTTTTGCTATAATAATCACTGAAAATGTTTGGTTTTGCCTTTGATGAAAGAATATCAAATATTTTATGGAACATGCTTTTAGTACATAAAACAAGTACATTAACAAGTACATGTTAAATGAAAAGTGACTAAGATTTTATTTTGAAGTTGGTGTTGAAAGGCTCTTCAAGTGGTTAATAAGTGGGGCAGGGAAATAACAGTGCTAGTATTTTAAAATAATTAGTTGATAGCTGGGTATGGTGGCATGCACCTATAGTCCCAGCTACTTGGGAGGCTGAGGTGGGAGGATCACCCGAGCCTGGGAGGTCAAGACTACAGCAAGTCATAATTATGTTACTGCACTTCAGCCTAACCTGGGTAACAGAGTGAGACCCTGTCTCAAAATAAATAAATAAATTAATAAAATAAAAAGTAAAATAAATAAAATAAAATAATTGGCAGGGACACCAAAGTAGAGTGTTGGAATTAAAGGTATTCCCTTAAACTATGTTGCAAGATGTTAATGTTTTAAAATGGACTTAAACACAATCATAATTCAAAAGCGATTATATTAGTCTGTATGCAGATTACTTTGTTTTCCCCCCATAGATTGTTTCTTACTGCTTTTTAGGAAATGTGAATCAATAATTCTATTGAAATAAGAATGAGCGATAATACTTAAACTGAATTTGAAATAGTTCAGTATCTTCAAATGCATTTAGGGTACTGAAGTGTAAACATTTTCATTGTAGATTTTTAGATATAATTTGCTTTTTGCAGTAATTTTATAAAAATTGACATTGCTATGTATCAGAATATTTTATTATCAGAAATATTCAGGCATACTAAAATTATGCATTGATGGACAAATATTTTTTAACCAGTTTCATATTTGGTCTGACTTTGAATGTAAGCACCTGTCATACCATATATATGGTGGTAATAAAATTAGTGCTTAATTTTTCTGATTTTAACTTGTTAATGGGTTAAGAGAATTTACACATTAGATAAAGTTGAGGAAGACATACTTGCAAGGGTCTTTCACCTTTCTGATGGGAGTCAGACCTTGATAACTTTCATTATGCCTCAGATCTTAATGGTGAAGTCTTTCTGGCATCTTATTTTGATTTTTAGATTTTAAATGGAAACAAAGTGGTGGAAGAATCTTTCTCTTAACTTTACAGCATAAAATGTATACTATCTTAATTTTTAACTCTTCTCTTTTATAGTCTGTTGTTTTATGATATTAGAGAGAAAATTCAGAGTGAAACTAATCTATTTTTTTTTAATTGTTTTAGCTTGACAGCTGGTCATTTCTACAAACATTTAATTATACGTTGTACCCCATAACCTTTCCAAGTGAGAATGCAGCAGAATGGAAAAAACTGTTTAAACCATGTGCTTCGCAGAGATTGTTCTTGCCAGTAAGTTTTTTCCCCCAGTGTCCTTTTTTTTTAAATTTTTTTATTTTTCTTTTTTTTTCTTTTTTTTTTTTAAATTGAAACTTACTGCCGATGAAGGTGGCCGAGAAAAACAAACAAAAAAAAAGAAACTTACTTTTACACAGATGAGTCTCTGAAGAGTTACATATAAATCCAGTTTAAAAATTAATAAATAGAAATCAGTATTTGTACTATTTTTCCCTTTGAACATGAAAAAATATTCATAGGGAGCAACTAAAATAAAAACCCTGTTAAGAATGAGAAATTTTTAGTAATTTCTGTTGAGATACCAGTTTAATGTATTCAGTCGCTGTGAACTCTTATCTGTAAGAAGGAATAGAGGTTGCCAGGTCTTAATGGAGCCAGGTCTGTTGCCAGCAGAAATGCAGTGGCATTATCATGTTCAACTTGTAGACTGCATTTAGAGTTTGAGAAATTAGGGAGAGTGCATCATTAAACAGCAATTTGTGTCTTATACCAAGCCAATTTGTCTTTTGTAACTGATACTTAAACAGAAACAAATTTAATACATTGGAACTATTTATTCAGGGGGGTTGTTCTTTGGTAGTGTTCTGTGGTGAAAAACCTTGATTTTTTTTTATATACAAATATTCTGAAGCAAGGTTACCTCTTTCATTTTGATTTGATTTTACCCAGTTTTAAAATTCACAGTAGTTGTGTAGACCATTATGATATTTAGATACTTACAGTTTTGCAACTTAAACACATAAAGAATACTTATGGTAGAAATACTGAATTTAAGAAGCACACAAGTTTCTGGAAAGTATATAAATTATGGGGAAGAACCTTCAGTTACTTCTTATTGCTAAGTGGATTAAGGCAATTCCTAGCTTATTAAGAATGCAGTTTAGCCGGGCACGGTGGCTCACGCCTGTAATCCCAGTACTTTGCGGGGCGGAGGCGGGTGGATCATGAGGTCAAGAGATTGAGACCAACCTGGTCAACATGGTGAAACCCCGTCTCTACTAAAAATACAAAAAATTAGCTGGGCGTGGTGGTGCGTGCCTGTAATCCCAGCTACTCAGGAGGCTGAGGCAGGAGAATTGCCTGAACCCAGGAGGTGGAGGTTGCGGTGAGCCGAGATCACGCCATTGCACTCCAACCTGGGTAACAAGCGAAACTCCGTCTCAAAAAAAAAAAAAAAAAAAAAAGAATGCAGTTTATTGAATCCAGGATATCTTAAAAGATTAACTTATAATTCTGCCTAACTAGTATCTTTGTGCTCTGCCTTAAAAAGTTGGACCCTAGGATCTTTCTCTTCTCTTCCATTGTAAAAAGCACACAAATAAGGGATTAAGATTGGTTAAAAAAATTAAGAAGTTTTAGATATTTCATGTAGGTTTTATAAGTTTTTGAAATAAGTTTTATATTGAATGTTTGCAGTGTCACAGTCAATTAATTAATATGCGAGTGCCTATTTCTTGTCAGTCAGCTATACTCAAGTGCTGGGTATATAGGAATCAATAGAACAGACATGTTTTCTGTTTTCATAGAGCTTCTTGTCTGATGGGGGAGACAGACATAAAATAATTACACCAATATATTGAAAAAACAGTAAGAGATGAAATAAAGATGTGAGGTTATGGCCATTTCTCTGCCAATTTGTTATGGCACTTTATTAACACTTGACACCATAGCACTTTGTTAACACTTTATTAACAGGTTTAATTGTTGATGTTATATGAAATATGCCAGATGATTTAATGATGTAAAACTAGTTAAATACTTAAATGCAATTTTAAGTACAAGAAATACTTGAAACCTGTCAAATTGACCTCATACTTTGCTGTTACTTCTACATCTTTTTAACCAGATTTAAGTAAATTGGTGCTTTATTTTTTTTATAGTGATAAACTTTTTTGCTGAGTTTCTCTTACTTTGAAATAAATGCATGAAAAGAACTAATGTAAACTGTGCCAGTGCCTTCTTCACCCGAAAGGAATCAGAACTATACATAGGTGATTATTATTTAACTATATGTCTGATTTCCAGTTGGCAGTGGCTCCCAGCATTGAACTTGGAGCTTTATGCAGCTTCTTCCTAGTCTGCTAAGAATATAGTAATTTGTAAACATATATGACACAGATGTAGAATGTTGCTATTAAAAACAGTTCTCACTCTACTACCCCTCAAAAAAGAGAGACAGACACACAGATTCCGCCTCCCCTTGCCCACACCTTCTTTTTTTTTTTTTGAGATAGAGTCTTGCTCTGTTGTCTAGCCTGGAGTATACTGGTGCTATCTCAGCTCACTGCAACTTCTGCCTCCTGAGCTAAAGAGATTCTTCTGCCTCAGTCTCCCAAATAGCTGGGATTACAGGCATGCGCTGCCATGCCTGGCTAATTTTTGTATTTTTAGTAGAGACAGGGTTTTGCCATATTGGCCAGGCTGGTCTTGAACTCCTGACCTCCGGTGATGCGCCCACCTCAGCCTACCAGTGCTGGGATTACAGGCATAAGCCATCATGTCTGGTCACAGATTCCCTTTTAATTGAGGCATTTGACCAAGTGAACTTTCCCTACTCAGGCCTTGCAGTCAGTCATTTTTTCCCCCAGCCTGGTATTAAGTCAGCTGATAATGATCTAAGGGAGGAATGAGGTGATTTCAGCCTAGTAGCTGCCCATTAAGGGCAGCTCCTGCTTTAGTTGCAGGAGGAAGTAAGAGCTTTGAAAAGTAGCAGAACTAGGATCAAGCTCCTATTACATTCTTAACTCAAAAGGTTTAGATTCACCTATTCATTGAATCTTACTAATACATCAGGATAGGCAGTAAAGTTAAATCTGTATGAGTCAGAATCTAAAGTTAATGTGTAAGGCAGAAATAAAAAATTATCCTTGGTTGGGCGTGGTGGCTTGTTCCTGTAATCCCAGCACTTGGGGAGGCCAAGGCAGATGGATCACGTGATGTCAGGTGTTCAAGACCAGCTTGGCCAACATGATGAAACCCCATCTATATTAAAAATACAAAAAATTGGCCAGGTGTGGTGGTGCATGCGTGTAATCCCAGTTACTCAGGAGGCTGAGGCAGGAGAATAGCTTGAACCCAGGAAGCGGAGGTTGCAGTGAGTTAAGATCACACTGCTGCACTCCAGCATGGGTGACAGAATGAAATTCTCTCTCTCTCTCTCTCTCTCTCACTCACTCATGCACACACACACACACAAAATTATCCTTAAAAACCCCCAGAGAAGGCGCATGTTGATTTAACATCTCTTAGAAGGTGCAACATATTAGCCAGTCTAAGTCAAGCCTTTACCCTTGGTTAGGTGTACATTCTCTTTGATTCATTGGGAGACAGTAAGCATAGAAATAAGAGCATGGACTTTGAATTGAATCCGGATTGCCTGGGTTCCAGTTTGGCTCTACCTCTTACTAGTTGAAACTGAAATGGTGTAAAGGTGTCAGTGTTATAAGGCAAGGGGAATAATATCAGAAGATCTTTATTTGTATTGGTTTATTTCTATATTTATCTCAGGAAATTAGGATTAAAGATATAAATTTACCTAAGTTAATGTTATTGTCCGTTATGAAAACCATTTCCTCCCTGATCTCTGAAGATGTTGGTAGCATTCTCTCAATTTTTATAATTATTTTGTTTTGGTTTGTTTTTATATCTTCTCTAAAAGTTAATATGAAGGTTAGCATAGTATCTTTATATGCTATTGTTAAAAATGACAGATTTAGGAAAGATTACCTTAAAATAGTATCAATTAGTTTATCTCTTCGGTGTATCATATACCATTAGAGGTGATTTTATGTTTCTTTTTGAAATAGAATTATAGTTAATTTTTCAAATATTTCTCCTTGTAGTTAATCCTGAAAGAAGTTGACTCACTATTGTATGTCGACACTGATATCCTTTTTTTACGACCAGTTGATGATATTTGGTCTTTCCTAAAGAAATTTAATTCTACACAAATTGCTGCAATGGCACCAGAACATGAGGAACCTCGAATAGGATGGTATAATCGCTTTGCTAGGCATCCATACTATGGAAAAACTGGAGTAAATTCTGGAGTTATGTTGATGAACATGACTCGAATGAGAAGGAAATATTTCAAGGTAAGTCACTAGTACAGGTAGTTGTTAGCATTTCTCTAAAAGCCTTCTAAATTGTTTGGTTTTCAATTTAGTTTTACTAAAAACTAGATTGAACTATAAAGAATTTTTCTACTAATCTAGAATAATCTAGAAGATTAGAAGAAGCTAGATGTCTAGATTTATCTGGAAGTGTGTTCATATTATTTTGTTTAGCAGAGCATTACAATAGGTCAAACCAGCTGGCATTACAATGAAGTAAAATAACAATGTACTAAGTAGTGAACATCATCTCTCTAGATTGCCGTTCTAGAAAGCAGATGTTATTTTGTATTTATATAGCCATGGAATGCATCGAATCTAAATTATGATACACCTTAAGGACAACATGGAGTTGCAGTTAAAAGCATAGACTCTGCAACCTGTTTGGTCTCACCTGTAAAATGGAAATGATAGCACTACCAATGTCATGGGACTTTTGCGAGGAGGAAATGAGTTAGAACAGTGGCTGACACATAGTAAATGTTGGCTGTATGGTGTTATTGGAAGTTAACTTAAAAAATTCCTGCATGTTTTCAGTCTTTCAGATTGTGAGGTCAGTAGAAAAGTCAGACTGTTTAAATTCTCTGAGTGTGCATTTAGATGACATCAGTATGTACTACTGTTTACCAGTTTCATGTAGATTAATTGTATATCTAAATTGCAAGTCACTGCAGTTCTCTGGAGTCAAACTGGCTTTCTTTGTAGCTTTGCCTCCTGTGCACTACTTTACTAGTCACTTAGTTAACCTTCAAGTATAAGTTCTCTCAGCTGAATAAGAGAGATAATAAACAGACTGAACTAAGTTAATTTAAAAGAGATCTGTTGAAAATTCTTACTAGATCGAGGCATGTAGTAAGCAGTAAAATGTTAGCTAAACACAGTGACTTCTGAGCACTCACTCACTGTAGGCTTTCCCTCTAGGGGTATAGACTTACTGTTTATTCCTTTATGTCTCATTAGGACTAAATTAAACATTAAGGGATATCATGTCTTTTATTATATGACTATATGTGTACATTTGTAGATACATATTTTTGTCATATATTTTTCAGATGGTATCTGGTGGAATGGAATTTATTCTTTCTATATGTCTGATTTAAGTCTTTGCCTCATTTCGAGCTGTTTCCTCTAAGTTTGGTATAAGCAGCAATACTGCTATAACCATTACCATGTGCCAACACTTTAGTCTTAGAAGTCTGACAGCTGTTACCTGTCACTCTTCTGTTCTGTTGATCTGGTAAACCTAGTTTTCTTTTTAGCCTTCCCTATTCTGAACCTTTTTAAAATTCTGATTTAAATTTAGTTTGTTTTCCACAGCTGGTTGCATTAGTGAGCCCAGTGTTAGGAAACCTCTGCTCTTGTTTAACAGAGAACACATCTCGCTTTGGTTGCCAAGTTTGTCATTATATCTTGAATTTTTAAATTTCATGTACGGTAAAGTTCTGCTATATGATAAAACTAGTATAGTAACATGATTGTTATTTTCTGATTCTTAGATTATGCACGGTGATATTATACCAGAAGATGGTGCTGTAAGATTATCTGCAAAGAAATAATGTAACTTCTCAGTAACTGCATTTGAAATTAGTAGAAGTTTAATGTTGCAAAGAACTATAGAGATAACACCAGTTGATTAAAACTTTAAAAAAATACAGCTATATATTTCAAATCCATTATTATAAAAATTATTTTATTCTTCTTTCACTTTTTTGTAGAGAACGGTCTTTACAAAAAAAGAGTTGCCCAGGCTGGTCTTGAACTCCTGGCCTCAAGTGATCCTCCCACTTCAACCCCCATAGTGCTGGGTTTATAGTTGTGAGTCACTGCACTTGAGCCAGATCTACCGTCTTTTACTTCCCTATTATTTAACTGTCATTCATAAGTACTTTCATAGTTTCTCCCTTTCCCTTTTTCTTTTTTTCTGTGACATGTTCCAAGTCATCTAGAGATGTAGTTACGGGGGTTGGAATAATTTCTAAACTTGCAAACTTTTTTTTTCTTCCCCACATTAATGTCTTGATGAAAAAAATATAAAACAATTGGTTGTACATTAATTCTGCAAGTATAATTTACTTCACACCTACTATTTCTGTTTTACAAGCAGGAATATACTCAGATTTGCTTTGTTTTCAAATATTGATATTATACTTAGGGTTGTCGAGATGTTCCCACAAAACTTAGGGATTTTTAAATTCCTTTTCTTATATATTTTCATTTTTCTTGATTGTTCTCTTTATAGCAAACATAGTCTTGGTTTTTCCTACCAGTTCTACAGTTAGCACAGGTCTTACATTTTAGAAATTTCGCAAGATAACTGAGCTACTTATAATTGCTTTCCAAACTGTTTTATACAGATGCACGACTGTTGCTTCATGGTTCTTAACGTATGCAAAGCCACAATAAAAACTTAGGAAAAGATCATAGTTTAAGTTATTTATTTGCTTTGCTGTCTGTCACCTGGTTCTTACCACTCATGGCTGTTCAGCTCCAACCTGATGTATTATAGTTAGGTATATCAAAAAGTTAAAATAGGGCTAGGTGTGGTGGCTTGAGCCTGTAATTCCGGGACTTTGGGAGGCCGAGGCACGTGGATCACATGGGTCAGGAGTGCGAGACCAGCCTGGCCAACATGGTGAAATCCCATCTCTACTAAAAATAGAAAAAACCAACTGTGCATGGTGGTACATGCCTGTATTCCCAGCTACTCGGGAGGTTGAGGAAGAATTGCTTGAACCAGGGAGGTGGAGGTTGCAGTGAGCTGAGATCCTGCCACTGCACTCCAGCTTGAGTGACAGAGTGACAGTGTGAGTGAGACTGTGTCCCAAGGAAAAAATAAGATATTGAACATTCTCTTAAAAAATTATGTAATTTTTAATAATCTCATATTTGTTAAACAATGAGTAACATTGGTTAAGCGATTATTTTGTGTTATCATATTTGCAGTTTTGAATCCCTATTAGGGTATTTATTTTCTCTTCTAAAAAAAGTATTACGATATTTCTTAACTTTTTCCTATTTATTAGAGAAAAACCGAAGAGTATGAATTAGACATCGTGGGACCTCTTCCTTGTTTGTTTACTCTCTGCCCTTTTTGTCCTATGTATTTGTGAAGTCTTTATTTGTTTGCTTGCTGCACCTACTGCAGGCAGGATATGTCTTTGGACAGCTTTATATTTATTTTAGCATGGTGCCTGACATAAAGTAGCAACTTGATAGATAATTATTAGCAAAGGACAGTCAGATGAAGGTTTTAAAAACTAGGCCATTAGTGAATTATTGAAAAATATTTTATATGAAGTAGATACAATGTTTTTACATATTTGTAAAATGTATGTGATAGAGGACTTTTCTTGTGTTAGTACATAACTTATGAGAACAGAATAATAACGAATATCTTGCCAAAGGGGTTGAACTTTTTAAAGTGAAGTAACTAATCTTTAGGAGTTGATGAGTTCCCAGTTTCTAGCATTGTTGGAGCATAATTTAAATAATCTTCAATTTTATATGTATGTATGGGACAGGCTGATAATGATAGTCCGTTCATTTTCAAAAGCATGCTTAATTTAAAAAATGAAACTAACTGATCTTAATTTTAACACACATGTATTTGGTCATAGATTTGCTAAAATTTGTAAAATTAGAACTATGGTTTTCTGTTTTAAATGTTATGAAACTAAATTATGCTTATAAAGATTCAAAAAATTCATTGTATCTAGAGTAAAAAGACAGTTTTTGACATATCTCTCTACAGTTTTATGCGTCTACCCACAGTGACACTATAAACTTTGCTATGTATTTTTTGGACCTTTTAAAATATGTATTTTGAGGCTCGGGGCAGTGGCTCGTGCCTATAATTCCAGCACTTTGGGAGACCAACCTGGCTAATATGGTAAAACCCCAACTCTACTAAAAATACAAAAATTAGCTGGGTGTGCTGGCACATGCCTGTAATCCTAGCTATGCAGGAGCCTGAGGCATGAGAATCACTTGAACCCAGGAGGTGGAGGTTGCAGTGGGCCAAGATTGTACCACTGCACTCCAGCCTGGGTGACAGAGCAAGACTCTGTCTCAAAAAAAAAAAAAAAGGAAAAGAAAAAGTATTTTGAAACAAACATACATATGCATTAGCACTTAGAGGATTCTTTTATATATTTTCAGCTTTTTTCATTTAGTAAATATATAGTTGACTGACTTCTGTGTCATTACACATAATCACATTTTTTATATGTATATGATGTGGAGAATGGATGATTTTATCTTTTTTTGTGTGTGTAACTAGTATGAATATGTAGTTGTATAACTGAAAATATATTTTAAAATTTGTATTTTCTTCAATATACTACCATCATGGTTAAAAAAATATATATTTTTATTGCATTTTAGGTTTTGGGGTACATGTGGAGAACATGCAAGATAGTTGCATAGGTACACATGTGGCAGTGCGATTTGCTGCCTTCCTCCCCTTCGCCTATATCTGGCATTTCTCCCCATGCTATCTCTCCCCAACTCCCTACCCGCTGCTGTCTCTCCCCTATTCCCCTCAACGGACCCTAGTGCGTAGTGCTCCACTCCCTGTGTCCATGTATTCTCATTGTTCATCACCCACATATGAGTGAGAACATGGGATATTTCATTTTCTGTTCTTGTGTCAGTTTGCTGAGAATGATGTTCTCCAGGTTCATCCATGCCCCTACAAAGGACACGAACTCATTGTTTTTGATTGCTGCCAATACTCCATGGTGTATATGTGCCACATTTTCCCTGTCCAGTCTATCATCAATGGGCATTTGGGCTGATTCCAGGTCTTTGCTATTGTAAACAGTGCTGCGATGAACATTCGTGTGCATGTGTCCTTATAGTAGAACGATTTATAGTCCTTTGGATATATACCCAGTAATGGGATTGCTGGGTCAAATGGAATTTCTATTTCTAGGTCCTTGAGGAATCGCCACACTGTTTTCCACAATGGTTGAACTAAGTTA